TTCTCTTGTTTGTTTAGTTTGCTATTGCTTTCTTATTCTTTTAATTTTAGTTATTAAATTTTCCCACTCAATTATCCATTCGGCTAAGAGATTACAGTGAGCTCCCTATGGGATTCGACCTAATACCACTTTTATTGCAAATATCTTATTGTGGGACTAGTACTAATTTTGAGGGCTTCGGCAAACCCATTAAAATTTTGGCACCATTGCCGGGGAGCAACTTTAATTTCTTAGCTATTACCTTCTTTTTGTTAACCTTCTTGTTTTATGACTCGTGCTTCTCAACGAGGTGAACTTGAGTACAACCCCGAAATTGAGAAGACTACCCGTCATTTAAGGAAGGAGGCGAAACAAAGGAATGATCGTTCACCTAAAAGGGTGAATTCAAATTTCGATCTACCAGCTTGTGATCTACCCCTTTTCGAAGGAGAAAGAATGGCTGATAGAGAGAGGACATTGAGGGAGTTTGCTGCACCGATTATGAACCAACAACCCTTATGCATAACGTATCCCACTCTTGAGGTAGCTTTTGAATTGAAATCTGGTTTGATACAATTATTGCATCTATTTCATGGTTTTCCAGGTGAGGACCCTCATAAACATCTAAAGGAATTCCATGTCGTCTGTTCAAGCATGAAACCCCACGATATAACCGAGGACCAGGTAATACTCATAGCCTTTCCATTTACTTTACGTGATAAAGCGAAGGATTGGTTGTATATTCTTCCTCCCGACTCAATACGCACATGAGATGAGATGAATAGGATATTTTTGGACAAATATTTTCCTGCATCCCGGGCTGCAAATATAAGAAAAGAAATATGTGGAGTTCGGCAATTTGGTGGTGAGACACTATATGAATACTGGGAAAGATTTAAACAACTTGTTGCTAGCTGTCCACACTACCAAATACCCGAACAACTGTTGATCTAATACTTCTATGAAGGGCTACAACCCATGGATAGAAGTATGGTCGATGCAGCCAGTGGAGGAGCCTTGGTGAACAAGACACCCGAAGCGGCTAGGGAATTAATTTCCAACATGGCCGAAAATTCACAGCAGTTCAGTGCAGGGACAGATGGTACCATAAGACGGGTTAATGAGGTAAGCCATATTAATTTAGAAAATCAAATCTCAGATCTAACTGCTTTGATAAGACAACTGGCTACAGGACAATTGCAAATAGCTAGGGTATGTGGTGTCTATTCGATTCATGGGCATCCTACGAACATGTGCCCATCATTGCAAGATGGTTCGATGCAGCAAGTCAATGCCATAGGAGGATTCCCGGGGTAGCCCCAACGAAATTATGACCCCTACTCCAATTACTACAATCCGGGGTGGAGGGATTATCCAAATCTAAGCTACGGGAACCAAGGAGGACAACAAAGATATCAACCCCAATATTTCAATCGACAGCCCCAATATTCAACACCTATCACAGCGCAAAGTCAACCCTCAAGTTCAGGTATGTCATTAGAGGAAATCGTTAAGGCTCTTGCTACTAACACTCAACAATTTCAGCAGGAAACAAGAGCCAGCATTTAGAATTTGGGGAACCAAATTAGCCAACTTGCCACTTCCATTAGCAAGTTGGAGGCGCAGAGCTCCGGGAAACTACCATCACAAACGGTAGGCAACCCCAAGGAGAATGTAAGTGCAATGGTGCTGAGAAGCGGGAAGGAACTGCGGCTAGAACCTACCTCACCAAGGAAGGCGGATAAAGGGCAGGAAGAAGAGGAGGAATAGGACTCAAACGAGAGCCCCGGTAAGGTAAGAGTTGGAGAGAACGTTTCAGCCGTGATCAAGAGGACCTCACCAGAAAAACGTGCTGATCCAAGTATGTTCACCCTACCTTGTGTGATTGGCAATAAACAAATCGAGCATGCCATGCTAGACTTAGGTGCATCTATCAAGGTCATGCCATACTCGATTTACTATGCTTTGAGATTAGGTCCTTTAAAGGAAACTARAGTTGTTATCCAATTAGCTWATCGTTCTARYGCCTACCCAGAAGGGATTGTTGAGAATGTATTGGTGCAAGTTAATGATTTAATTTTTCCAACTGATTTTTACATTTTGAAGATGGAGGAGGACACGATCACAAGTTCA